GGGTGCCTGTAGTCCCAGCTACTTGGGAGGCTGAGGCAGGAGACTCGCTTGAGCCCAGGAGTTGGAGGTTGCTGTGAGCGTGATGCCATGGCACTCTACCCAGGGCGACAGCTTGAGGCTCCGTCTCAAAAAAAAAAAAAAAGTAATTGTTAGCATTCAAATGAAATTGGAGGAACTAGGTGATGTGCATTCAGAATTGATCTGCAGGAAACCTGGGCATTTTCTTCTTAGGTGCCCGAGAAACTAGTGAAGGGCGTGGGTTCTGTCCAGAATTTGTCCTTCCTGCCTCTACCTGCACTCCCAGCTGTCGGGGCCACAACTTGATTTATTGAGCTAAACAAGTCAGCAGCTAATTTGTTCATTCATGGCTGTCTTTTGAGCAGTGGTACTAGGGATAAAGATGAAGATCATTGAAAAACAAGTCAGTTTCAAGGGGCAGGACCTCTCAAAGTAGGTCACCCTTCCTTCCACTGGGCCGAGGGAAGCTGGAATCCCATTAACCTCAGGCAGGCTCAGTAAAGAGGGGCAGGGCTGTTGCTGAAAAACAAAACGTGGCTGCGTGTAGGCTTCCTAATTTGACTTCCTAATGAGATTTGGAAGAGAAAAGGGGAGACTGGGGTATGGGAAAATCAAAGGAAAATTCCTTTCCCTTAACAAGACAGTGGCACTGAGGGGAGAGGTTTGGGGTGTTTGGGAGGTCTGCGTGTTTGACATCAGTTAATTTTGTTCCACTGGGGTCCCAGGGAGTTTGAGGGATGGATGAAGAGTCAGAAGGTGTACCAAAATATTCCTTTCCATTTATTCAGAAAGTCTCTTCCTTTTTAAAAAAGCAAAACAAAAGCTCCACTGACACTTTCATTCCCTTGGAGCTATTGCAGCCTCTTCTCGTGTAGCTGACTTCCCAGAAGAGTTGTGTGTATTTGCTGACTCCAAACCTTACTTTCTGATCACCCTTCACCCACTCTGGGCTGCTTTTCCCCATCCCTCAGCAGCAAGGATTCCCAATAAGGTCACTGATGACCTTCATGTTGAAAAACCCAAAGAGCATTCAGCAGCTCTGATCACAGCTGATCCCTTAGCAGTAGTGGGCACAGCTGACCTTGCTCCTTGATGCTTTCTTCCCTGAGCTCCTGGATACCAAGCTTCCTCCTCACTCCTTTTCTGTTATCTTTGCACACAAGTCCTCCTTAGCATTATATGGTGGAGCTCTTTGGGACTTCATCCTAAGCCCCACTCTTGTTTCTGAACTCTCTCTGATTGCTGCCCTTGGCAGTGACTGTCTCCCATTTCTTGATGATTCCCAAGTTTATATCTCAGTGCAGAATCCTTGCCGAGTCTCAGCGCCATGTAATCACCTGTGTACATAACACCATGAACTGCATGTCTTGAATAGATCTTAACACCTAACGTATTCACAACTCATGACCTTTCCTATCAAACTTTACTCTTAGTCTTACAAGTGGCTCTACCATCTCCTTAGTGATGCCAACCAGACACGTGGGAGGCAATATACCCACTGTGTCTCCCTCCTCCTCCTCAGTTACCCTGTCACCACCGCCTGTCAATTTTACCTCTTACATATCTCTCATCACCTTCCACCTCTGTCCCTTCCACCTTCACCACCATCCTAGTGGAAGTCTCAGTTAATTCTCTCGGGGCCCTCTGCAGTAGCCTGGGCTTGCTCATCTACGTTTTCTCATGGGAGTTGGAGTGTCATTGGTTGTTGGGTTTTTTTTTTTTTTTTAATGCAGTTCTGATCATGTCATCCTTCTGCTTAAACTCTTCAGTGAGTTCTGATTACCTTTATAATAAAAACACAAAATTTAAACGTTGCATGGCTTGGCCCCACACCAAGCTCATCTTTGATTTCTGGATCCAGCTAGACCAGAGCCTTTTAGTGCCTTAAATATACTCTATTACCTCCTCATACAGGGCCTTTGATGCTGATCTCTCTCTCTCTCTCTAGGTTTTCTAGAATGTTCTCTTGCTTTGCTTCTCTACCTAGTTAACTCCTACTGATTCTTTAGATCTTAGTGCCATTGCCATTTCCTTGGGGAAGCTATCTCTGACCCCCAGACTGCACCAGGAGCCTCTTCACACACTCCCGTGGTACCTTATGCCTTCCTTTCCTAGACATGTCACATTCATCTGTGTGATCATTCAGTTAGTGTCTCTCCCTAATAAACTGTAACTCCAAGGAGAACTCTGCTGTGCTCACAACAGTATCCTTAAGGACCTGTCATGGGACTCTACTTTGGAGACCCTCAATTAGTATTTGTTGAGTCAATGACATGTTTGTCACCCTTGATAAAAGGAATCAGGGTAAGTAAAAGTCAAGATTTTGTTTTCTTTTGTTCTGGAGCAGGAGTCAGACAATTTGGTGGGGTCACACTGTTCGTTTTATGCTGATCAGCAGCCTGATTGGCTGTTACAGATGTCTTAATTAATTAAAAAACGGGAAAATGAATGAGTTGTTAATCTCAGTGATCTCATAGTGAAAAGCACAGGCATTATAGTCAGTTGGGTGTGGCTGGAATTCTAGTTCTATCTTTGACACAACTACACGATGATGCTGGACATGTATTATAAACTCTGAGCCTCAGTTTGTCACTGGTAAAATGGGCATCACGATACCAACCTCATAGGGTTATTATGGGTCATTTCCTCCCAGGGGAACTGGGTACAGAGTAGATGCTAAAAGTAAAAGGATAATCTCTCTCTTTCTCTCTCTCTCCCTTCTTCTCTCCTTGAAGGCATCTTGCTTGGTCATTTACATCTTTCTAATCCTAGGCTCCTTAAAGGGAAAACTGGTATGAGGATTCCTTAGTAGCGCTAACATTGGCATCCACAAACTCTGTGGCCCAGACAGCCCCATCCCCTGCATGCCTTTGAGGCCCTGGCTGCTCAGAGGACCATAGGTGAGGGGTTCTTTGCTTACAGGTGCTGGAGCCTGGATGCTGGAAGGAACTGAAGAGAGAGTGCGTGTGAGCAAACGGGAGTCGGGGAGGCCTGACGGCTAATTGATGTTAACTATGCAAAGGGGGCCAAAGACCTTTACGAATCTTTTTAAAGGTCAAGTGCTTTTTATTAGGACAAGGGTGAGGCAGGAAAATACCACTTGTCTGGGGAAAGCTCAGGGCCCAGGTTCTGACTCCAGTTCTCATTGGCATGAAAGGCGTTTCTTGAACGGATGGGTTTTCTACTGCCCTGGTGTGAGCTTCCTCAGAGAGGATCCAGAGCAAGGCTAGAAAGGCCCTTTTGCAGCCAGCTGGGTTCCCTTGGTCAGCTGTCCCAGTGTTGGCCCTCTCCTTCTCAGGCCTCCACTTCGGGTCTCAGCTTACCCAGACCTGGGCCCATCCTGAGCAGGGTCAGGAGCATTCTACGAGACTCAGCCCTTGCACAAAGCTTTCACCAATCTTTCCTCCACCCTGGGCTGAGTTATGCTCCTTGTCTGGGGTTCCAGAGACACTCATATCCTCATCCTAACATCCTGTCCCCTTGGAGGTTACAGGGCTACTGTGATAACATTATAGTTTACATATTTGGTATATATGGTGTCATCTCTACTTTATGCAAAGGGCAGACCTAGCAGGGTATATGGTACAACTCTTTTTATTGTCTGTTTCTCCTCTTGGCCAGGGAGTCCCAAAGAGTGGGAACTGTGTACGTAGGTCTGGCACTGAGCAGGGGATGGGCCATTGCTGATCGGTTAAGCAGCAGGCATCAGATGTCCCTGTCCGCTGGTCACATGTGAGTGCATCTCCTTTCTCAGCTCCCGCTGCCACGTCCGAGGGCATCTTCCTCTGCACGTCTGCACTTGCCTTCCTATCCCTCTGGTCTCGGCTGTCCTCCTACCAAGCTGTACCTCACGCATTCCCCGTGCTGTGCTGTTACTGTCTTTGCTAATGGATGTAGATTCTTCAATAGAGTGAAATGTTTTGACAGCATTTTCTTGTGGGTGACTGGGAAGTTTGTTTCAGGCCTTGCATCCTTAGAGGATGAATGGGAATCAGGGCTCATCCAGGAACTACACAGGATTCCCGTTGTCAGAGTGAGGTGCAGGGTGGGAGCCCCAGAAGTGGATCCCCCAGAAGTGGATCCACTGTGGCCTGACAAGCTAAGCAAAGGGGTGTGGACTTGATCCTGGAGGCCAAGGAATGCCGTGGAGGGATTAAGAAGGGGAGGACATGACAATTTGGATTCAGATCCCTCTGGTAGCGGTGTGGCTGAAGCATCAGATTTGGGGGCTACAGCAAAGGAAAGAGGTGAAGTCATCAGGGGGGGAAAGGGTGGATGGCTTGAACTAATGGGGGAGAGTGGCCAGCTAGGGACTGATTTATGAAATCGTGTGAAGGTAGAAGCCACAGGACTTGGTGACTCCCTATACTTTTGAAGTTTCCCCATGCAGAGAATAGCAGGTTTGTGAGAAGGTGATGGGATCCATTTTGGATGTGATGAGCTAGGTCTCTGTGGGCTGTCCGTGGAGAGGTGTCTCAAACAGAGTCTGCTCCTTACCTGTCTATCCATTCAGCCCTCTGGGGGAGTGACAGCTCTGGGAACTACCAGCATACACTGGTCACCAGAGACTCAAGGGCAGATGAAATCTCCAAGGGATAGAGTAGACAGAAACGAGGTGTGCTGAGTGTGGGACCTGGGTCAGTCTGACTTGCCCTGACTTGCCCAGACTTGCTCAGAGTGAGGACACCTGGGTGCTCTAAGGCCAACGTATGCTCAGGCCTTTGTGGCCGGGAGCATGAGTGAACATGAAATTGTTCATCTTCATGTCTGAAGTGTGTCCTTTGTGCAATTAAAGCCACTGGGGTAGGACAGAGACCAAGCCAGCGTTCATGAGGAGATGGAGCACATGGGCAGCACCTCGCCTGCTTGTTCACCTGAGAGGTATCACTGGCTTTAGTGACATTACTGGTATGTGGTGGTCACTTGGCAGGTAGCTTCAAGTATGTGGCTAGGATGAGGCAGGATGTCTGTGTGCTACTTACACGTTGAGAGGCTGCCAGGCTGGCCACTGGGCTTTGGCTTTGATGACGGTGAGGACCTCATCACTCTGCAAGAGAGGACCACAGATACTTAGTGAGCAGAGCTAGAGCATGGGAACAACAGGGCTTTGACCCCTCTGCCTTATCAGCTGTCAAAGCTCTACCTGCCTAAGTCTGGAGCCACAGCAACACCAGGAGGAGGTAGGACTGAGTATCCACTGTGCCAGGCATGTCCTGGACACTGGTGGGCCCATCGAGCCACACCTTTGCTTTCCAGTTCAGCTCATCCCTTCCCTACTGGAGCCAGAGCTCTGACCTGGACCCTGCCTGGGTTGGCCAGACGCCCTTGCCGTGTGAAGCCTGGAGGGCCACGTCATGTGCGGTGAGTTCAGGCACTGAGTAGCTCCTACAACTTGCAAACTGGATCAGCAGGAACTGCAGTGTAGCCAACATCCCACCCCAAGGACTGTCACCCTGAGGCTTCTTCTGCTGGTAAGACCCCTGCCCTGGACCAGGCTCCTTTGGAGGGGGAGGCCAGAATGAAGCTGCGGCCCATACTCACTGTGCTACTAGGGTTATTCAGCCTGATTTTGCTTTGGATGGTGTATGGAGCACCCTTAGTATCTGGGGAACCTAAAATAATTTTTGGAGGAAGAATTTGATAACATTTTGAAGGAAGACATTAAATGGTTATTGTAGGGCAAAACTCAGAACTTTGTTGACCTTGCTCGACTTTGTAATTTTGCTGTTTTTTTTTTTCTTATTGTGCACGGGGGTGGGGTGAGGGGTAGTATGATCTTTGCAAGGCTTAAGGCCTCCATGGGTCCAAATTCAGCTTAGGCAGGGGCTTTCTTCAGAGAGGAGTCAGCTGGTCTGGGTCTCCCCTTCTCCTGGCTTGGAACCAGCAATTCTCAGACACAATAGTCCATTGTGCGTAGAAAACTCCAAAATGTTACCAGTTGGGGAAGGAAGAGCTTTGGGGGCAGAGGCTTGCTTGGCTGGCTCACAGCTTTGCCCCAGCCCTCAGAGCAGTGCCTGGCAATAGGCGCCTGGAACATATTTAGGATGAATTGATGACCTTCTCCTTGGTTGGGTACCTTGCCCAGAAAAGTCCTACACCCCTGAGGAAAGTGGAGGAAGGAGGCCAGATGCGCCTCCCAGGCTCAGGCCCAAAGGTTATAAAAATCTTTCTAATTCAGAGCTGCTGGTCCACCCCCAGGGAAGGGGTCATTGCAGGGTAGGCCTTAATGATGCAGGGAGCTCTGCCAGACCTGGAATGGCCTGGACTCCTACAGATGGCCCCAGGGGAGGGTGCCCACAGGACAAGCCACAGAGCTACCTACCAGGGCAGCTCTCAGCCTCTTCCTGATCTCAGGCTCTTTGGGGTGCCCTTTCTTCGTCAGAGGCAAGAACCTTCAGATGCACTGATAACCCCACATGCCCACGTCTGCAGGGAAGCAGTTGCGTTTCTTATGGAAGATTTGTTTATTTGTTGATAGTATAGCTCTCACTCACTCCTAATCTGTTGAATAACTGAGAGAAACTGTTTTTTGTGAAATCACTATGGAACATGACCTGTCCGTCTATGACCTGGACTCCAGCTCTATGTCTCCCAAGACCTGGTTTTCCTGTGCTCACCTCAGAGGCCCATGTTGGAGCCTTTCATCTGACCCCAGGCCCCTGTCCCCATCCAGTGGTCCTATGTGTGCTAAAGGCGCCTCCATCAGCTGCCTGGGGCATCACCAGCTGCCTCCCTCTGCAGCCCTCACCCCAGCCAGGCTGGAGACCTCCTGTGTTCTCACTCTCCCACCCACCACCTCCAGTACCCCTCCTCCCCCAGGGCACCCCCTCCTTTTGCAAGTCTGACCATATCAGTTCCCTGTGCAACCCCAGCAAGGGCTCCCCACCCCTTCCAGGATAATTTCTCACTTTCTGAGTTTTGTTTACAATTTCTTCATCATGTAGCTTCTGGTCTACTTTTTTTCCCTTTGATTTTTAATTCTAGAATAATATATACTTTTTATTTATTTTTTACATTTAAAAATTTTTGTTTCTTGTTTGGGATTCATTGAGGGTACAAAGAATTAGGTTACATAGATTGCATTTGTTAGATAAAGTCCTTCTTATAATGATGTTCGGCCCCCAAGAGGTGTGCCGTACACCGTGACCCCCTCTCTCCCTACTTATTATAGCAAATGTTAACATCACGGAAGCACACAATGTCGATGGCGAGCACTTCACTATTCTATTTCCAGATCTCCCCGCCTCTGTCTCTACCTCCTTGTCTAGAATGTTACAGGTTGGTATGTATTTTTCTGGGTCTTTGTGCACATGTGGGCAATAGATATAGCTTTTCCCACAAAAATGGCATCATACTGAGTATCATGTTCTGTACCATGATTTTAAAATGTTTTCTTAATACTATATCATGGGAAACTTTTCATCAGGACATATTATATACCATATACAGTATACACCATATATCCAGGCTTTTCTGTATTGTGATTATTAAAGTGCTGGAGATCTTTAAATTATGGCAAGCCTGGCCAAGACGTATTAAAAAGAAATAAGGTATGAGATCCAAAAAATGACATACTGTCTGATGACAAGGGCTTTGCCCTTATTATATTTCATCAAAAAGCAAAATCAGTGTGGGTGGGGTTCAGGTGGCCACCGAGTTAGCTGGCCCTGCAGGTTCACCTGCTTTACAATTCAATGTTGGCTTTTGGGTCCCAACTAACGACATACTGACTTTGCTTTTGCAAAACCCAACACAATAATAATGATCTGGATCCTCCATTAGTGTTTATTTATGATAATGAAATTCCATGTGTGTTTCTTTTTTAAATCTATGGAGGATCCGAGGACGGCAGGTCCATATGTGTGGGCGCTGCAGCCTCTTGTTGTGAATCACTTCACCTAGTGTTTATACAACATCCGTGTGATCAACAGCTTCCTGTTCCTCCCGCGATTGTTTGTATTACTCAACAAAATAAGAAAGCCAGGAGCATTCTGGAACATTACTTAAAAAGCTAAATATTTTTGTTGGAACATCAAGATTCTCTGGTAGAACCTGAGTTCTCCAGGATGAGAGAGTGTCTGAGTTATTCCCGGCTATATCCAAATGCTCACAGGCGCTCAGTGAATTGTTGAGAAAGCAAAGCCACGCCATTCTTTCTGATGTACGGGCAGAGTTCCATAGCATGGATGTTCTCAGATTTATTAAAGTGATGTAATCAGGGGATATTTATTTGTTTCCCCAAATGATGCTCTGAGGGAGACTCTGTACCTGTTTCTTTGTTCACATATACAAGAGTTTGTGTGTCATTGATTCCCAGGAATGATTAAAAGATGAAGCTAAGTGTTTAAATTTGGGGTTAATCTGTGGGTACATATGATTCGGCTACATCATTTGCCTTTGTAAGGTCAACTTCAAAGTCTGCGTTGTAAGACTAAGCTAATTTAAAGCTGTGATAGGGCCTGCCAAATTGCCCTCCAAACATCTGTGCCAATTTATGCTCCTATATACTCACATCCTCACAACTTTAGGCACACTGAATATTGTCCATCTTTTTAATAATAAAGCTACTAATCCAGCATGTATTAAAGTAGTGTACTCTGGGAGGCTGAGGTGGGCGGACTGCCTGAGCTTGTGGGTTCGAGAACAGGCTGGGCAAGAATGCAACCCCATCTCTACAAATAGCCAGGTGTTGTGGTGGGCACCCATACTCCCAGCTACTCGGGAGGCTGAGGCAAAAGAATCACTTGAGCCCACGAGTTTGAGATTGCTGTGAGCTATGATACCAGAATGCCAGGGCACTCTACTGAGGCAACAAAGTGAGACTCCATCTCAAAAAAAAAAAAGAAAAAAAAAAAGGTAGCACGGTGGAGAGCACAAGCTCTAGAATCATACCTGAGTTCAAATTCTGATGGCAGCATTTGCTAGCTTTGTGTTTGTATCTTTTTGGCAAGTAAATATCTTGTTCTTGTATAGTTTTCTCAACTGTGAAATAGGGTCAGAAAGATCTACCGTGGTTAGTATTAAATGACAATCCATGCAGTGTGCTAATACAGTGCCTGGGACATAGCAAATGCTCCATACATTCTAGCTATTATTCATTCTTATTTGTATTTACATTCAGATCAATTTGGTATGAATTGACTTGCACTGCTTGAGTGTGGAGCACACAGTTGCAGCTTCAAACCCACAAAATCCTCAGGAGCAATTCCCCTCATTTAAAGTCAAGCTCTGAGTCTCAGGGAGTGTGTGATGGGAGGTTTACGTAGTTGGGTGAGCCCGGGATGGGGCTACTGGGGCGCTGGGCATTTCACATTCTGACGAATGAAGGCCTTAAATTCAGAGTAAGCAATCCATGCTTCAGACTTAAATGAAAAGCTTATTTTAACAAGTCTCTAAGGCACAGACAGCTTTCAAGAATCCTCAGAGCCCCTTCACATCTCCCATAGGACCCTTTTCAAACAAAATATTTCAGAGCATTCACAGTTCATGCCTCATTTGGATGACGTGAACACTTTTCCAAAGATGTGGCAATTAAAATAAAAAACCCCAAAGACACTCCAGGTCACTTGTATCTATCTTTTGCTTTGTTTTTGGTAAACACATTGTGAAGACATGACAGCTGTGCTCAGACCTCATAGCTCCTGGTACCAAGTGGGAATAGCACAGCCCTAAACAGGCACAGGCCAGGGTCAGATCTGGAGGGAGGAGGTTTGTGTGGAGCAAAAACAGGCCTGGAATAGGCCAGAGGCAGAAAATGCATCAACATCGGGAGATGCCAAATCTGAACAGAGCAGAGAATAAAAATGGAGGCCTGGGGGAAGGAATGGAGACTGGTGTCTGAACCGTCCTCACCCCACATGGGCCCACCTCTGCACTCCAGAGGCAGCACCCAGGGAGAGAGAGCTCCAGGCAGCTCAGGGGAGCCAACTAAGGAAGTCTGGGAGTGCATCACCCCCTTCCTGTCTCAGTCCTCACCTCCTTTGACCCTGCACCTTCCTGGCTCCTGACCTTTTGACTCCCTCTCCCAGTCCTGAACCAAAAGCTGTT